TTAGGCTGAAAGACACTCTTTAGAAGAAACTCAAGCTATAATTTAGAAAGCTATAGAATATGGTTCGAAAAAACAAATTAAACAACAATAATTATCAATAGATAATGAGGGTGAAACTGAGGTATTAACACCTCTATCAAGCACATCAATACCTTCCCAAAGTACTTTTAATTTGAACAATTTTTTTTATAAATCATCGCGTGCAAATAGCATAAGTAGCATGTCAAATATTTCATTTTGAAACTTTGTTCCCCTTGATAACTATATGTATCACAAATTGAAGCCAGAACAAATAGAAACAATTGAACATTTATTATTAAATGTTACAGTTGCTTGTGGTTTTGTTTTTCATTGGGTTGATAATCCACAATTAAAAAGCTTTTTAAATAGTTTAATCCAATGCTAGAGTTACCAGATCGTAAGCAGCATAGCGGAAGAATTCTTAAAAAAACATCTGATAACCTTACAGATATTATTCTTAATGATGCTATTAATGATGATCTTAGGATTATGCTAGCTTTTGATAGTTGAAAAATGTTTCTTGTCAAAATTTATTAGGGTCCGTTTTATTTACTTCAGAATACAATATGATTATATGAAAAGTTAAGGATATTAGTGGAAAAATATGTACCGGTAATATTATAGTAGATGAAACGAAAAAATCATTTGTTGAGCTTGAAAAAATTAATATTAAAATTAATGGATTAATTACGGACTCAGCTTTAGAAAATATTGCTGCAAGGTAATCAATAATAAATTATCTTTAATTTTAAGTTTATAAAATTATTTATTAATTTAATTGATTTAGAAAATTATTGCACCTACAATATCAGGACAAGATATTTTTGCTGTGCTTCGCATACCAGATGAATTTATGTATTGGAGATATATTTGAAGAGTCATTACGTCTAAGTGATGCTGTTAAAGGAGTTATTAGTTTAATTACTTTTTTCAGTTGGTCAAAAGTATGGTTTGAACAACTTCAAAATGAGCAAGCAGCTATTTACAAAATTCATATTGCATTAGTAACTCCAGCTACTACTTGATGGAACTCATACTATTACTGTTTTGCTAGTTTATTAAAAAAAGGGAGGCTTTACGTGTATGTATAATGCAATAAAATTTGGGTTGATGTTTGTTTTTAATTAAACAATTTTATTTTTTTTTAGAATCTTGTAACAAAAATAGATGAAAAAATTATTTCTGATGATTATGATTTTCCCGAAAAACATTTACAATGCATTTTAGATAATAATTGGTGGATTTTCATTAAAAAAATTGAAACCTTTTTAATTTCATATTGTGCAACACACTTAATAAACTTCAATGACAAAATTTACGATTACATGAAGTTCTTCACAGATTTGGTAATGTAGTTATGACACTTAAAGCATTTGATAATCAAGAATTAGTTATTACTCTTTCAAAAATTGAGTGACAATGGAGAGATTGGAAACAGCCTCTTTTGTTACTATCATTTTTGTTACTATCATTTTTGCTACATCTATTTTATCATGATACAAAATTTAATCCTGCATTAAATTTATCATTTTCTCACCTAGCAAAATGGGTTTTATATTATTATTACATATGGTTTAAGGAGGAGCCAACAGTTTTACTAGCTGAACTTGAAGAATAAGGATCAAAAAAAATATCCTTATACTAATTTTATTTCTAAGTAATTTAAAAATAATATTTTAGATTATTGGAGTTTTACAAAAAGTTAATCAAAAGAATTGTATAGGGTTGCCTAACGAATTTTTTCAATTACTGTATCAACAGCTTTATTGAAATGGTTGTTTTCAACAATGGGATGGTATCACTCAAAATGGAGGAATCGATTAAAGGTACAATATATTAGCATATTTATTTCTATAACATCTGCAAAATTAGATATAATGTTTTTTCTTTTGATATTTGAGGTGAAAAAGGTGTTAAGTTTAGCTCAGATTCGTGTAAGTATGCAAAGATAACAACAGCTTTACAAGTTAGATTATCATGCAAAACAATATCAAACAACTATAATAAGAACTTCAGATAATATAGAATTTGCAAAATTTGAAAATGATGAAGAAATTTTTGTTCTATCTGATAATAAAGATTCTGATACTGATAGAAAAATGGATGGAAATGATAATGAAAGTATAAATAATATTTATACACAACCATTAACATTTGCTAACGAATGGAGAAAAACAGTAATAGATTGGATAGAAATGATTGAAAATGAATCACAAGACCAAGATAATGAATTAGCAAGCATTACTGATACATATAATATTTTTTGTTGATAATATTGAGTAGTTACAACATCCTGCTATTGATCCGTAAGAAAAATGAGAATTAAAAGATATTTTTATAGAAAATTTAAAGTTACTAGGTTACTTGAAAGATTTTATTATTAGTAAAGCTTAATAAATAAATTTAATAAATTTGCAAATTTTGGAACTTTAATAAAGTCGCATAAAATTTATGATGTCATTTGCTAAATCATTTTTTATTGGTTAATAATTTCAGTTGGAATTGGACCAAGTTTAATTGTCTATTTGTTTATTTGAACTAAATGATACAAGTCCAATAAGTCTAATGTTCAATTGGTCCAATTATCCAATAAGTCCAATTGCCAACACTATTAGTAATAGTCTTGCTATGACGTACAATACTATACCTAACCTAATTAACAAATAGTAATCATGTCGATCACAAATCTCAACTTTCTACCATTTTTTTAATTTCTCAGATTTCACTAATTTTTTAGCGATTTCTAATTTCTCTAATTTCATATATTTCTTTAATATATTTAATATATTTATTTTTTATATTTCTTATATTTCTTTATTATCTTAAATATCTATTTCGTATTGATGTATTTTATATAAATATCTTGTATTTCTGCCTCAATAAATGGTAGAGTCGCTATCAATTCTCTAATAAATCAATAACATTCATCTCTAAAACTTATCTTTGCTCATTAAACAATTCATTCTTCTTTAAATCTATATCTATAAAGATGACCTGACCTTTCAATATAATTATTCGTATTTATTTCTTCCATAGTTTAAACGTACTTAAACTCCCTGCTAGCAAATAATCTTTGTTAACTTAACGACGAACAGTTTAAGCTTAACAGTATATAGAAGAAAATTTATTTTTCCTGGCAGTTTTCTCCCTTTCTATTGCAATGTTCTCATATCATCTTTATTAATTAATGGATTATATTAAAATTTATTATATTTTATAATTTTTTAGAAATATTTATTATTAGAATAACTACTATAAATTAATTATTATATAGTTATAAGATTTTAATTGAAAATATTTAAATATATTTATTTAAGATAAATATAAGTAAGTTATTTTTAAATATTTAATATTTAACCTACTTAATACCTATTTTTATGAATTTAAAAATTATGATTTAATTAATAAATATTATAACTTCTAATTAGATATTTAAATAAATATTATTTATTTATTTTTGTAATAGTAATTTAAATGTAAATTTATAAATCTATTCGAAATCAAAAATAATATTAAATCAATTTAAATAAATTTAAGTATAATTATAGGTAATATTTTAAAGTTTAAATTTAATAAATTACTAATAATATTATATTAAAAAAATAATTTAATAATTTTGATTGTATTATATAAAATTAATTATTTTGGTTTTATATATTATTGATTTCTATTTTACTTTAATTTTAATATAAATAGTTGTTATTATTTATTTGCACTTAAATTATTTGTTTATGATAATTGCTAAATTTATATATAAAATTAAATAGATTTATATTCTTATTAAGAACTTTTATGTTTTTTTATAATAATTTATAGAAAATGTAAGACAAAAAAAAAACTTGTAAATTATTCTTAAAGTATTTTATATAATAATTAACACAAGAACTTGGAACTTTCGAAGAGAAAATCAAATTTCTACTTTGTTTTTTCTTTTATTAACCCTTTAATAATTTTAAACCTTCTTTTACAACTGCTTCTTCTTTTTTTTTAAAAAAATTTTCTGCTTTTTCCAATTTTTCCTTTCTCTTTTTACCGTTTATATCTCATGTTTCCATTGTTTTTGTACTCCATTTACTGTTTCTTTTTTCTCATCTAATTTTTCTATTTTCTTGTTTTTTTACTTACCTTTCTATTCTATTTCTTTCCTATTTCTAATTTGTTTGATTATCACCTTTATTATCATTCTTCTTCTAGATCTAAAGAAATAAAAAATAATAAATTTTTTTTCATTTTTATCTATTTATTCTTCTACCTTCTCCATCTAATTATTGTTCATTAAAATTTTATTAGAAAGGCAAAAAAGGTAGATCTTGGCATATTGTGAAGGTATTCTTCTCTAGTCAATGGTCAATTCTATAGATCTTGATACACTATTTATTTTTGGATGCTTCTCCTTTTTACTAACAAAAAAATTAATGGAACTAAATTAATATAGGAGAAATCTGGTTCCTAGTCACGAGGATGTTCTAATCATGTTTTTTTTTTTTTTTTGGATTGTTCCAAGAATTAACGGTATAATTCCATAAAGAATCTGAAGTCTTTATTTTATTTTCTTTTATCTTAACGTTAATGGTAAAATTACTTTTAATATATACATCGATCCCTTTTTCCTAACAATAATACATTCCATGGACGAAATTATAAAAATTCCCTCTAAAAGTCCAATTTAATGCACAAACATTATTATTAATAATCTTTAATTCCGAAACCTCTGTAGTGATTATGTTAATAAGCTTAAAGAATTAATTCATTCAAAGAGGATTTTATTTGATATTTTTTTAACAAAAAGAAAACTTTAGATCCTTTGCCATATAATTCTTAAATATAATATAATTTTCACGATAAGAATGAATGTTAAAAAGAGTTATAACAATAAAATTACATATTCTGTCTTGTTTACATACTAATTTGAGCTATATAATAGATAAATATATCGGATAAAAAAATAATCAGAATCATGATATCCTCAAGCGATATTATTAGCCTTCAAACTCTTCAAGAAAAGATCCACTCGGTTTAACCTATCATAAAAGATTTTATGAATATATATATAAAATACAGTCGTGAAATAAATTATAGGACATCATACTTTAAATTGATTTTTATTTTTTTTGAGGTTATTTTGACATTCTTCTACAATTTGCTGCATAATCCATCCCGTATAATCGATTTCTTGAAGTTCGGGAGACAACTTCACCGGTAATTGTTTTATACTAGATTCAACTGAATAATCTTTATCCAGATCTATCAAAACTTTATCCTCTCGAACGAATCGATCGCCAGCCAAAATGAATGTAGGTACATTATCTGAGAGTTTTAATGCCTGAGGTATCGTAAACTTCTGACTGAGCTTGACATTTAATTGAACAGGAAGTTCCATCTCAGGCTTATCTTGTGTAGGGGAGTGTTGTAAAGTTTGTTCGGCTTTGGCTTGGCTCATAGTCCACTTTTCGCAAACTGGATTTCCCATTATATGAATCGCTTTACCTGGTACCTTCTTTAGATCTTTTTCACTTGATATTGCTACTTGATTATCTGGCTTAAGCACTACCTGATTGTCGGTTTTAGATTGATCAGTATTTTCTTTTGATGTCAATGATTCAGAAATTTTATTTTGATTAAATAAAAGGTGAAGTTGTCTTTTTAGCGATTTAACTTTATCGCTGGCGTTGACTATCTCCTCGACTTTAGTAGTTTCCTTTTCTACACTTTTCAATTTAGCTTCCCTCTGAGAAACAGTTTTTGCTTCACTTTGCTCCGATGCTTCATCAGCTGTCGTCGCTTCTAATTCATTTTGTAAATTTGGTTCATCAACTGTCGTCGCTTCTAATTCATGTTGTAAATTTGGTTCATCAACTGTCGTCGCTTCTGATTCATGTTGTAAATTTGGTTCATCAACTGTCGTCATTTCTGATTCATGTTGTAAATTTGGTTCATAAACTTTCGTTGCTTCTAATTCTTGTTGTAAATGTGGTTCATCAACTGACATCGCTTCTTTATTAATCAAATCAATTTCTGGGTCACGATGCACAAGTGATTCGTCAATTGTCATCGTTTTTGATTCATCTAACCTACAACATAAATTTATCGAAAATAATAATAAATATAAATATATAAAAACATATTATTACAAATTAAATACCTTTTTACTGATTTCTTTCGGTTTTAATGAAAAAAATACAATAATAATTAAATAGATGTAATTGTTAAAACATGGTTACAAATAATTATTGTTTCACCTACCGAATCATCAACTCCAATATCTCCAGGTGATTGTATATCATCATCAACCTTTTCATCCTAATCATCAAAAAATGATCGGGTTAGCTTATTAAGAAAATGATAAAATATCAAGACCAATCGTATGGATTACCTTTTTGACTTTATCATGTTCGGCGCGTTCAACAACATCTTGTATCCGTTCATCTTTACACTCATTCGCGACAACATTTAGTTCAAAATCTCTTTGTTCAATTCTTACAGCATCAATAAATTCCTCATTAAGCTTCCAATCAAGTTCAATTAAATCATCAAGAATAAATGGCTTCGGAGTAACAGTAAACGCGTCGATTCGTATATATTGATCGTCAACTATTGCGGAAGACTTTATACATTTTGCTTCATGATTATTATCAATATCCTTAATACTTGAAAACTTCCAATTCACATAAGGGTTATCCTTATGAACAGGAACGTTTCTCAAACGAAAACGATCGACTTTTAGAATCGAAGGACTCTCGGGATTAGTTATGATGGGATTAGCGATCTTTGATAAAGAGAAGTGAGGTGACAAAAAATAATATTTAAGTAATATATTATAAAAACTTAAGGGTTGTGACAAAGAATAGATACCTCAATAACAAAATCAGCGTTTGGTTTTTCTTTAAGATGCTCTTTTAAATAAGGATTTTCTTTGTGAAACTTATGATAGAATTCCAAAACTTCATTCTTTTCGACTAAAATCGGTTTTTCTTTTTCTTCACATTTCTTATGATAAAAGTTCACTTCATAGGGTCTATCTTCCTGCCTTTTAAGGTAAGGGTTTTCTTCTTGATTCTTATAATATGGGTTTTCTGCTTTTTTGTCGTACGGGTTTTCAACCTTCCTTGAATAAGGATTTTCTTCCTTTTTCATGTGGTAAGGGTTTTCTTCTTTTATTCTTCTTTTGTTCTTTTCCATTATTTGCACAATTTTTTTATGAATTCGATTAAATTGGTAATACAGCGAAAAAAAAAAAATTTGAAATCATTCAAAAGGAAACATTAACAAGTGAACATATGTCATAAAATGTTTTTTTTTTATGTAATTATTATTATGCAACAATACAGTTTATTATGTAAAAGATTATGATTACAAGACTGAGTTAATAAAGAATAGGTGAATAAATTGAAAAGGAAAAAGGAAATAAAGAAAGCATGAAGGAAGGAAGGAAAGAATTTCTTTTTTTTTTTTTTTTTTTTTTAAAAAAAAAAAAAAAAAAAATTATTTAAAAAAATCGGTTACGCTACTTCCTTACTAAAATACCAAAAATCTTTCGGGAAATGAGCCGACCATTTTGCCGATCATCAATCATCACCGATGAAATTTATTTTTATTAAAATCAAATTATTTTTAATAACTTTTAATACAATTTAAAATACTATTATTATTATATTATTTAATTTAATTAACTTCTTAAAATTTTATTCATTATGTTTATATTTATTTTTTATATTATAAATGGTTCCATTATTCTGTTTTTTCTAATATACTTTCTATTATTTCATCCTCAAATAAAGGAATCTTATCTTCTTTAAAGATGCAAAAAATCACTTTTTAAATTTTCAATATTCTTTTAATTTTCAGATGAAAAGTAATTAAACTAAACATTTTCATCAAATAGAATACTTTTCAATACAATTCCATTAAATAAATCTATATCATTTGGTAATAAGCATTTATTGAATCACAAAATTTATTATTAGATTTTTTTTTGTGCATTCCAACCTAAAAGAAGCACCTTTACCTACACCTATGTCAAAGGAATAAAATTTGGATAGATATTGTATTGATGATAAAATAAATAAACTTTTTTCCCAAAGATCATAATTATTAATTTGAGTTTTACCTGGAATTCTTCAAAAGAAATTATATCAATAAATTTTAACATGATAATAATTAATCATTGAATGTTAATTTGAAATTATATATATTCAACCTGATACCATATGATCATAAATTTTTAATTTTCTCACCCTCTAGTTTCTAAATATTCTTAAAAACAGAGAATTTTTTCGAAGTTTACAATCTTATTTAAGGGTCATGATATTTTAAATAAGGATTTTTTAAATTATTTTTATCAAAAGAATAGATTTTTTATATGAATCGAAAAGATTGACATGAAGTTTATGTAAGAAATAAAAAATTTCTTTGAGTGACAATGTCAATGTGATGTATAAATTTTTAGATTATAATCCATCAATATCCGCAGAAGCTGATCAACACTACACAGAATTCTAAAGGCATCATTAGTTTTTTTTTGCAAATATCAGGTGCTGTACAAGTTAAAATGGACCCTTCATCCAAAAGAGAATGTTTGAAAAATACTTAAAATGTAGTGTCACCAAAGTCTATAAATTCTTTTTAAAGAACAATAAAACCTTTTAAAGAAAATACATTATTTGATGTCAACAAAGAAACAATTATCCAAAATGCGGTGTAACCTTTCACATTGAAATAAATGAAAAAGCTTATATGGAAATGAGGCTTAACAAATTTCGTATCGCGATCAATAAAAACTTAATTATTTTGCATGCATGATTACGTATTTCGTTACATATTTTGCAAATAGTTACACATATTTTTATTTTATTTTACATTTATCTTTTTTAAATTCGTGGTCTTTTTTGACACTAATAATTTAATTATTCGAAAGACTATTTATGATAAAATGATATCTTTAAACATATCATTCTGTTTTTTTTACAAGTTGCAGAATGTGATCTTACTTTTTTTTTTATTCTTTAAAAGGATACACATTTTAATTAGATGAATAATGTAATAAATTAAATATATTGAATATTGATCAAATACGTTAAGAATTGTCATTGTGACAACTCAAATTTAGCTAAATTAAGTTAAAAAAAACTAACCTAATGAAGGAAGCTGAGATGATAATTAAGCGAAAATCAGTAGCACTTTATAAAAAAAGCAAATTCTATCAAAAATATTTAATTTATCTCTTGCTTGCAATCTATTAAAAGCTACTTTGAACCTTTCTTGTATCTGTGCTGTGATCTTATTCCAAAAAGGTGACTTAGATCTGCAAACCTTCTCCAGTAATCATTCTTAACTCGACCAAATATTGCATCTCTTCATCGGACTATTCAATTGTGGTGAGCATTTTTGTAATTTATTTGATAAGAATAAATTTAAAAATTGTTAATGTATAAGATTGAACAATTAAAGAAACAAAAATGCGATAAAATTTTCCTTATATAAAGCTTTATCGAAACATATCAGCATTCAATGAGTTGGCAAAATATCTAATTTTTTCGCAATTTTAAATTTGCACAGTTTTACAATTGAAATTTTCGCAATTTTCGCAGTATTTTCAAATTTGAATTATAGAAATTAAATAAACATTAATCACCACTGATTTAACACTGATTAATCCTAGGTTCGAGGCTAATTAATCTGTGTGCGAGCTTGTAATCTATCATCTGGTTTTCCTGACATTCATCAATGTAAACTTCATGTATGTGCGGGCCACCGAAACCGTTCACTTTGGTTGCACGTAAAGGTCCTATCTAAAAAAAATTACTGACAATTGCGAGCCTTCTGCTTTTCATATTGCACTAATATATCATATTTATGATTACAAAAGTAACAAAACTTTGGGTATTTCCTTGTACTAAATGGACCAGAATTATTCCTTAAATAAAGAGTCTACTTCGGATTATTATCGTATGTCAAAAATCGTATATTTTATAAATGTAGTATTTTTTTTTTATAGTTGCATACCTTGATAAGAGAAAAGCAGCTCGCTATCCACATTTTCTAATACTATCTCCGAAATGATTCCAATACTTTTTCTCGAACAGATTTAGCCAACAAAGGTAGCCCATTAAGCGTTTGACATATTTAAAAGGGGGAATTCCTCCTCATCACATACAATGTCATTATTTACATTATGCTTTGTTTTAGTTTTGTGGTCAACATTCGATTGTCGATACGATAGGTCTCCAGAAGCATTTCTGAAAACTTTTCATAAGTAATAAATAATGGGAAATGCTGATCTGTCAACAGACGAAACGAGTTCGGAATTTCACCAATAATTTTCTTCCCATCATCCTCTTCATGCATGCAATTGGCATCAAGTCAAGTGCCTATTACTAATGTATTCCTTCATAAACTGGGCTTTCGAAACCTTCTTTCCAGCAAGCTCCGTCGATTTTTGTAACTGGTCTGGTAGAAATTTTTTTTTTTACTCGCAAGAATAAATATTTGTCTTTTGTAAAAATATTCGTCATCGCAGTGTAAAGATGGTGTTTTGTAAAGTTTGCTTCCAGATGTGAAATGAGTAGTTTAAATACAATACAAGTAGTTTTTCCGGTCCAAAAACGAACGTCGATAAAGGATTGCTAATTATGTCGTACTCTTATCTACTTGAAATGCGAAATCGGAGCCACTTAGGATGAACGACTTGAAAAATCCTGCGAGAAAAATGATTTATTAGAAAACATATTCGTCGAATGTGTAACAGTGAACATGTGCATATTTATCCTTGATATAGGAATAAATTTGTTTGTAACTAACATTTTATTGTTCTCCAATAATCGTTCATTGTCCAAATCTTCGTAGATGAACGACGTTCCCCCATCTTCAAATAATTCCGGTAAACTAAATTGTTTTCGCTTATCTTTTGGACTGCGCACCGACGAATAATTTCGGAAGTGTAGATTTTATGAATTCTTTTATGTCAATTTGTTCCATGTTGCGTGGACGAATACGTATGGATAGAGAATCCATAATCAACTTGCCAGAGAATTTTTAAAGTTGTTTCCAAGGATTTCCACTTTATAGACAGGAATAGCGTGAGATGACCTACTTTGGAGACCATACCTTTTCCACGAACCGGATGATATCTGCCTAAGTTTTTCATGACCGTTTATATTTGCATATCGTTGAAGTCCTCATTATAAAGCATTTCTCGCATTTTTTTGATGGTACTTTCGCTAAACAGAATTTCCACGGTCCAAGCCTGTTTGTATCATTGAATTCGAATGGAAGGTGGAAATGACATCCTGGTATCTTTCTTTCGGCATTTGCTTGTTCTCTTTTCTCGATAAAAAATGATTTTTAATTTATCATTTATTTTTTTATTTATAAAAAAAAGCTTAAAGTAGGTTCGTTTTTTATATTTTTGTTTTATTAAACAGAAAAGGTAATCAAAAAAAAGCCGATAATCTATTTCTGGAAACTAACATGCGCATGATGCGATACATAGTAACTATTTATAAATGATATCATGATTTATAATCTTTTTCTGGTCTGGCCTATATAATTTTATTTATGTGTTATAATAGAAATAATATATACAGTACTGTATATATTAAAAAAAAATGCGCTATAATCTTTTTATCTTTGTCATTGCCTTCCTGTGCTTGCGTTATAAAACTTTTAGAAGGATAATTTCGTTATAAATAGTCTTCGTTTCATTCGGTCTTTTGAGAAATATAGTTTCTCTCCTTAAACCTATTTCAGAAAGCAAGCTGAGGAAATAATGTTTTTAATTATTGTATTTTATTTTATTTTTTTTATTAAATAAAATTCTATCGTTCTATTTTAATAAATAAACGGTTAATATAAATTACACTCCCATACGAAAAAGAAGGTAACATTTCTTATAATTTAAGTTTCTTTAATTTCCATTTTGATATTTATTATTATTATTCGACTTATTTAGTAAATTAAATCATGTTTCTTAATTAAAAAAGTTGACAACTCAGCCAACAATGTAGATATCAGAATGGTCATCTGTATTGGCTTAAAAAAAAAATATTCCAAATTATCACGTCAAATAAAATTAACTTATATGGATGGGATCAAAAACTTTAGATTATTCGTCACATTAAATTTTATATTGTTTCCTTCAAAATAAAAATAATCAATTTTTTAAAATTGCACAAAAATGGGCAGAAAGAATCTTTTAAAAGACAACATCAGCAACCATTCTAATTAAATTTAAAATTTTAAAAGAAACAATGGAAACGATGACTACTACAATTTCATTATATATATTTTTTTTCTCTAAAATCAAAAACATATTTTAGCGAACATCTACGAAGTCATCGATAGCTTTGATATCGAAAAGCACAAAAGAATAAATTAAAAATTTATTTAATAAAAATCGTGAAGAAAAAATTTTTCCTTTCAAAAAATATTCATCATTTTTTAAACTTATGCACAAAATCGGGAAAGGATATCAGAAACAACTACGATAAAGGGAATGATATGAGCGGCAGCTAATAGTATTGCTTGCACCAACATATATGATAATAATGGTAGCAACACAGCGATGACAGCAATAGAAACCATCAACATATTTGTCAATATTGGTGAAAGACGATGGCGAACCTGTTTTAGAGGTTGGAACTGGCCTAAAAATCATTAATCGGTTAAAATATACAATATTTCATTCATTGCAATTGTTGCTTTCATATTTTTTTAACTTAAACACTTAAACACTGCTCGTAGATTTAGATTTGGCAATTGTTCATTAATCATTTTATTAGTTTTAAATGTTCACATTCTTTAACGGCTACCTCTATAATATATAACTTTATTGATTCAAATTTAACCCCCTTAATAACATGTTATGTAATTGAAAATAGTATACAAATTTTGTAAGCTATATTTATAATTACGGACAATATTATAATAATTTAAAAAAGTATTCCTAAATTAATTATCTATCCATATACAGTGGTGGTCAAAAAAAATGACTTTTTAAAATTGTGATAGTTATATAAATATTACATTAATTAAAACAATATATCATTTTAAAGCTATTAAGTGATAAATTTTATTTAAATAAATTTATGGTATTTATTTACCATTTTTTTTTCAATAATCCTTTTATAATATCATAAATTGAATTTATAAAACTAATTAGAAGGCTTTTTTGTATTTTTTTTTTTTACCTTTATTCAAAAATCTTTTAATTTACTAAATTTTTCTAACCCATATAACTTCACATTCCTTTTAATAATTAAGCTAATAGTTTTCAATAAGTTTTAGATCTAAATTATTAAAAGAACAATCCATAACCTTTAAAATACTATTTTCAAAAAAAAATTAGTAAAATAATAAATTACTTAATAAAATAACTAAAATGCTATCTTGATAAAGAATTTTTTATATTTAATTTCTAATTATTTCAATTTTAAGTTTTTAGTAATAGTTTATATTAATCTTTATGAATGAGTATATTTTAGTAGCATTGTATACTTCCTACCTTCAGAAATGTAATCTCATTTAATGTAAAGTTTTTATCTTAATAAACTAAAATTTTTATTAAGGTATAGAAAAAGTTTTTCTTGAAAGTAATATCTTAATTATATAGTTTTCATTTGCATTTTTATTTATATATGTACAATTAAAATTGAAGAAGTTGCAAAATTGCAACATAACGATCTGACGTAGTAAAATTGTCATTTTTTTTGACCACCACTGTATGTTAGTTGAAGCTCAAAAAGTAATATTGATTTCTTTTTTTTTGATTTTCTGCCAAAGTGGTGCATCATCTATAAAACGAATATATTATAATAAAATTATTAAGAAGTTCGTTTATTACCAATTTTATTTTGAAGAAAATGGTATAGCATTTCATCCAACGTATTATATCATATCACAAGCGCTATCACTTTGATATTCAATAGAATATAATAAAAAACAAGTATTACCTACCATAAGTAATGGCATCATCATCATCATACTCACTATCAACACAATCATTTTCAGGCCAGATGACTCTCTTGTGAGCCAGATCTTTTGGTTAGGATCATAGAACCGGGTAGGGTAACACATCGGTTAGACATTGTTAAGCTTAAATTGTTCATCGTTAAGTTAACAAAGATTATTTGCTAGCAGAAAGTTTAAGTACGTCTAAACTATGGAAGAAATAAACACGAATAGTTAAATTGAAGGGTCAGATCGTCTTTATTGATCTAGATTTAAAGAAGAATGAAGTGTTTTATGAGCAAAGATTAGGTTTAGAGATAAATGTTATTGTTTTATTAGAGAATTGATAGCGACTCTGCCATTTAGCAGGTCAAAGATATAGAGTATTTATACAAAATAAAATAATAGTAAATAAAATATGATA